AGTTTGGTTACCCTAAAACAAGAATCGATAGGGATAACACTACAAGGGTACTAATACCTCTAGAGCATTTTAAATTACCTGTTCTCGACAGTTCGTTCTTTGTGAAACGTACCCAGAGTGGGACCCCTGATAGAAGTTCAAGTTTCTCGGAGAAGAATGCTAAGGATGAACTGAATGCTTTGATCAAGAACTTGATTTCCAAAATTAAGGTGAGGTGGCAATTTGGACGGAACAGCTCTGGAGAATTAAACATTAAGGATGCCATACAGGCTGCCCTTCAGACGTCTGTCACGGATGTCCTGCTACCGGATCCATTGACGTTTGGCTTTAAGCTTGCTGAAAATAGTACAGGACGTGCCAAACTCAGTTCACCTAAAGAATCCATTAATCAAGTTCAATCCCCTTTGTCTAAAGGTTCTGTACTTGCGCTTGACATGACTTCCATGGAAGTTCTGGTCCGAAACAACACTAAGGAAATGAGAAGGATGAGTCTTAGCATTACGTGCCGAGATGTAGCCGGGGAGAACTGCATTGAGGGCAAGAAGGCAACTGTTCTTTGGTCAGTTAAGATTCTAGCATGCTGTCTTTGTTCAACTATCTTTCAGTAGATAACAACCCTTTAACTCAATTAGTTAGAAAATACTCTTTTTTAATTTTTAAGAAAATAAGGAAATATCAAAAAATAATTATTTCTAACTTTCAAACCAAGGAAATAATCTCTGATTTTTAGGAGGAAAATAAGGATTATATTAGAAAATATCATTTCTAACTTTCAAAAACTTTGAGTTTTCATAACCTTTTCTTCAGGGGTTATGAATGGACTCCCTAAGCGATTAGCCTATTGTTGGAAAATGGGACCAAATATCATGGAATCGATTACATGGAAATTTTATATGCCAGCATTCAAAATTATTATGGATGAGCATGTTTATTTATGCAGGTTTTTTTTTTTTTTTTGGTCTGATCTATTGTTAGGTGTTTTGAGCGGTGTAACTGTGGAGGTTCCTCCCCTAGAGGAAATCAAACATTCGTTCTCTTTGTATTTCCTGGTTCCTGGCGAGTACACTCTGTTAGCTGCCGTTGTGATTGATGATGCCAATGATATTCTGAGGGCTCGTGCACGATCTAGTTCACCTGATGAGCCAATCTTCTGTCAAGGGCCCCCATTTCATGTCCGAGTAAATGGAACTGCATAAACTGTATCATTTCGTTCACCTATTAAACACATGTTGGCTCATATGTTTCCTAAGGAAACTACTGATACTGTCATTTGTGCCTTTCCATAATTTAGCTCATCAAGATTTCAGTTGGGTGTATATTAGTGTAACGCCCTCAAAATAATAACATTAAACCCATTAAAAGAGACATGCATTGATATCCAAACGTTCCACATTCTTTCATTTATCAGAGTTTCATTACAATAAGTATTACATGTTAACAACAAAAGCAAATGCCCTATGGGCTTACAGCTTTCCAAGCTAACACTTGGTTACAACAAAAGAGTACTAACTCATACACATTAAGCCCTTGGCTTGAATTTACATGTAATACATCAAAAAGTAAAACGACAAAAGTATGTCCGCCTCTAGCCTCCCAAGCTATGTCCTTGGAGGTGGCATACTACTTGTACCTGAAAATGATATTCCCATATAGGGTGAGCCACAACCCAGTAGAAATACACTAAACCAACCATGAACAATGACTAAAAGATTAGCAACTGATAGATGGGCACATAAAGGTTGGTTCAATTTGGGCGTGGATTCACTAGGTAATTGAGAGTATACCTGTGTAATTCCTTTATATCTTTTTAGTGGATTGTTTTGTGGCTGTTGCCCGTGGTTTTTTTATCACAATTGGAGGTGTCCAATTGTGATTTTTCCACGTAAAATCGTTGTGTCGATTTGTCTTGATTGTTTGATTGGGATTGTTATATACTGCTTAAAATTGATACATAATCACAAATCAACATCTAGGGGATTTCTAAATTTTTCAATTTCTGTGGTACCCTCACTGCCATTGCTAGTGTCACACGTTGTAGGTGGTGATGGAGCTGTCATTTTATATGAAGGTGAGATTCGTGATGTGTGGATTAGTCTGGCTAATGCTGGTACTGTTCCAGTTGAACAGGCACATATATCACTGTCAGGAAAAAACCAAGAGTCTGTTTTATCAGTCCCTTGTGAAACTTTAAAAAGTGCCCTTCCTCTGAAACCTGGTGCGGAAGTGACAATACCAGTAACCTTAAAAGCGTGGCAGCTTGGTTTGGTTGACACTGATACTGCTAGCAAAAATTTATCTGGAAGCACAGTAGCCCAATGTTGTTGATCCACTATGTAGGTAATTTTCCAACCACAGCTGTAATAGGAAAATAACTTTTGTTTATTAGATTTTGTTGATATAATTTCTTTGCTCTTGTAATCTTGGTGTTTCTAAGTTTTTTGAGTTCCTAGTTTTAAGCGACAATTACATCAAATATATGGCTCTCTTCTGGGAGCAGCAACATTGTGATCTATGGTCTGGGTCTGGGTTTGAATTATGATGAGAATTTGCAAATCAGACTGAAGCCGCAGTCCAACATGCCCTATTGACCTTGCCCACATATTCAATGACGGATCCTGTTTTCTTAACCTTCTCCCAGAGTAAAGGGAGAGTGCTTTAATCAAACTTCCCCACCCCTTTGTGGTACTTGTTTACTCTCATCTCAAGACCTATTTAACGATTCTGAGATTTGATGAATTTGATGCTTAGGATGTCATTTGGTCCAAATTTCTGGTTGAAGACACTATTTGGGTAAAAATGTTTGAATGCTTAATTGAAGTTCCTCTTCGTGTGTTTCTCTTACATCTGTTATCATAGTATTTGCTTAATTTGAAGTTCCCCTTTTTCTCTTGTGATTGACTAATTCTGTGATATCCCACAAATCTATATTAGTGATTGTTTACGGCTTTTGATACACTTTTCTACATAGACATTAAGTTTGTTAAAAAGGCGTGTTTGCATTGTTTACCCTTTTCAATCTTCCTGTCAGGGCCATTGGCGAATTCAGGAGAACCACCTACAGATGGGTCTGTTGTTCCCCCTGGTAGACGCCTGGTTGATCCTTTGAACATTTGTGTTTTGCAGGGCTTGTCCTTTGTGAAGGCCCGTTTGCTGTCGATGGAAATTCCTGCACACGTTGGTGAAAATCCTCCTATGTTGGTTCATGTGGAGAATGGTTCTTATGAAGTTACGATTTTTGATTCTTCTGAAAGTAAGACTGATAGATTAGTGAAGATTGATCCTTACATGGGAAGTTGGGGACTACGCTTTCTTGAACTCGAGTTGTCTAATCCAACTGATGTTGTTTTTGAGATTAATCTTTCTGTCAAGCTAGGGAAATTTAGAAATGAGGATAATTCTAGTGTTGATTGCAATGCAGCAGAGTTTGGTTACCCTAAAACAAGAATCGATAGACATAACACTGCAAGGGTACTAATACCTCTAGAGCATTTTAAATTACCTGTTCTGGACAGTTCGTTCTTTGTGAAACGTACCCAGAGTGGGACCCCTGATAGAAGTTCAAGTTTCTCGGAGAAGAATGCTAAGGCTGAACTGAATGCTTCGATCAAGAACTTGATTTCCAAAATTAAGGTGAGGTGGCAATTTGGACGGAACAGCTCTGGAGAATTAAACATTAAGGATGCCATACAGGCTGCCCTTCAGACGTCCGTCACGGCTGTCCTGCTACCGGATCCATTGACGTTTGGCTTTAAGCTTGCTGAAAATAGTACAGGACGTGCCAAACTCAGTTCACCTAAAGAATCCATTAATCAAGTTCAATCCCCTTTGTCTAAAGGTTCTGTACTTGCGCATGACATGACTTCCATGGAAGTTCTGGTCCGAAACAACACTAAGGAAATGATAAGGATGAGTCTTAGCATTACGTGCCGAGATGTAGCCGGGGAGAACTGCATTGAGGGCAAGAAGGCAACTGTTCTTTGGTCAAGTAAGATTCTAGCATGCTGTCTTTGTTCAACTATCTTTCAGTAGATAGCAACCCTTTAACCAATTAGTTAGAAAATACTCTTTTTTAATTTTTAAGAAAATAAGGAAATATCAGAAAATAATTATTTCTAACTTTCAAACCAAGGAAATAATCTCTGATTTTTAGGAGGAAAATAAGGATTATATTAGAAAATATCATTTCTAACTTTCAAAAACTTTGAGTTTTCATAACCTTTTCTTCAGGGGTTATGAATGGACTCCCTAAGCGATTAGCCTATTGTTGGAAAATGGGACCAAATATTATGGAATTGATTACATGGAAATTTTATATGCCAGCATTCAAAATTATTATGGATGAGCATGTTTATTTATGCGGGTTTTTTTTTTGGTCTGATCTATTGTTAGGCGTTTTGAGCGGTGTAACTGTGGAGGTTCCTCCCCTAGAGGAAATCAAACATTCGTTCTCTTTGTATTTCCTGGTTCCTGGCGAGTACACTCTGTTAGCTGCTGCTGTGATTGATGATACCAATGATATTCTGAGGGCTCGTGCACGATCTAGTTCACCTGATGAGCCAATCTTCTGTCGGGGGCCCCCATTTCATGTCCGAGTAAATGGAACTGCATAAACTGTATCATTTCTTTCACCTATTAAACACGTGTTGGCTCATATGTTTCCTGAGGAAACTACTGATACTGTCATTTGTGCCTTTCCATAATTTAGCTCATCAAGATTTCAGTTGGGTGTATATTAGGATGTTCTAGAGTGTCTATAAATCCGTAGTGGACATTAATTATTCTGATTTCCTTTCAATGAGTGTTGTGAATTTGAGGCTCATAAGAAATTAGATTGGTCGCTGTTCCACAAGTTGAGTATTATCATCATATAAATGATTCCAGTTTGGCGTCTGTTGTGCGTACAAACAGAGAAATTGTCATGCTTTCATGGTGTGGTTCGGGTCATGAATCAGTTGCTACCAGTATACATCCATAGTATACATACATATAAATATATATTGTTTACCCCAAATCGCAACTATTTAAAGCAAAATTAACTTTTTCTTCTTGTGTGTGCTAGTGGTGGAGAAGTGGTTGGTAGCAGCATTTGTTGCATTTGACATAATATTAAAAGATATGGGCCTAACAAGTAATAGAAACATTATTAAAAAAATAAAAACTTTAAATGGGTGACAGCCTAATCTTTTATTTTTGTTTTTTTTTTCATTGGATTGTGTTTTTAATATTACAAAACCTCAACAAGAAAAACATTAGCGATTTTATTAACCTATTTTAGTTTCAAGAATTTAAGGTGTCTAACCTCTTATATTTTGGTGAAACATTGCCTAAAATTAATGTTTCGTAACAAAGAAGAGACTAAACATCTGTGCTAACTGAGTCATAGGTGTAGTTTTAATTGGCAAACTCAGGTTGTTGATCTGATTACTTTATGTTGCAGCAATCATACTTCTGCTTCTTTTTTGTCTTGAAAGTAGTAATTCATCTTTTATAGACTAACTAAAACATATCCCAGGGAACCTTCTATGTAGCATCATGGCAAGAAATAAAAGTTGCTGTGAAAAAACTTGGGGAGGAAGTGACTGCTGATCAGGATAAAATGTGAGTTGTCCATATGATGGCATTTTCATTTTGTTTCCATTATTTTCTGAATTCTTGGTTTTCATTTTTCTTTTTGTTGATTTTGCTCAAGAAGTCTTTTCAGAGATGACCTTGAATTGCTTCAGAAGATACGACATCCAAATGTAGTCCAATTTCTGGGTGCTGTAACACAAAGTACCCCAATGATGATTGTGACAGACTATTTACCCAAGGTCATTCTCAATTTTTTGAGTACTCACTTCTTATTAAGTGGCACTTGATAGTCTTAAAATTTTTACTGATTTCTAGCTTATTAGATTGCAGATTTAATATTCTTATTGTTTATGGAGCAGTAGGAGTTCTTCTCGTCCTAGCTATTTATCCTTGTAATTGCAGTTGGTGTTGTTTTTGCCATTTCCAATTCTTTCTTACCCTTTGCTGAATTTGACCTTTTCTTAATGCTTGTGTTTCAAATATATATTCAATCTTTGAACTTCAATTTTTATGGTGGTTTGTGTCAACAGAAGGTGAATTCTTTTGATATGTCTTAATTGGAATGCTATTTACCCTGAGCAATGCTTTTTATATCTTTTAACATGTCATTTAATGCTGTATATGGATGTGAAGATTCCATCTAGCAATTGCTTCTCGTTTCGATTTTTTCAAGATCTTAAGCTTAATTCTCATTAGAGCGAGCTTACTTCTCAGAAGAGTTGGGTCCCCTCTTCTTTCCAAAGCCAACAACTGCAAACAACTGTGAGAATATATTGTGTATTAGGAATTAGGAATTAGTGTAAATATTAGGAATTGGTTATAGATTTAGGAATTATATTGTATATTAGGAATTAGGAATTAGTGTAAAAATTACTTCTCATAATTGGTTAGGTCTTCATGGAGAGAGAGAGGAGAGGGGCGGAACTTTGTAATCTAAAACCCAAAATGCTGAAAATTTGAGATTGAATTTTAATTCTCAGTTCAACTCTTTTTTTCTCAGCAACAATCAGTGTTATAATTTGTTGATGACTTGTGTAGTTGTTGTGAGAATATATGGTATATATGGCATGATTGGTTATATTAGGAATTAGCCCTAAATCTATTACTAAAAAAGGAAATACAAAGATTCCTATTTACACTAATTCCTAATATAAAGGAATTAGCCCTAAATCTTTGTATTAGGAATTAGTGTAAATAGGAATCTTTGTATTTCCTCTTTCAGTAATAGATTTAGGGCGAATTCCTAATATAACCAATCATGCCATATATACAAAGATTCCTAATACAACCAATTATGCCATATATACAATATATTCTCCCAACAATAAGTACACAAGTCATCAACAAATTATAACACTGATTGTTGCTGAGAAAAAAAGAGTTGAACTGAGAATTAAAATTCAAACTCAAATTTTTCAGCATTTTGGGTTTTAGATTACAAAGTTCCACCCCTCTCCTCTCTCTCTCTCTCTCTCTCTCTCTCTCTCTCCATGAAGCCCTCAACTTCAATCTTTCTCTCTCTCTGAGGTTCGGGACATTGTTGATGCGGAAGGTCAAGAGGTACTTGACATGTTACAAGTCGACAGAGCCAGGAACCAAAGGTCGCGGTGATGGTGGGAAGTCGCTGAAGAAGAGTTGTAACTATTACAGCGAAATGAATGAAGAGGAGAGGAATGAAAAGATGACATCTGCCATTAGCTACTGCAAGGTTAGCAAACATCAATCTCGTTGGTGTGTTAATGTTGAAAAAAATATTCTGGCATTGTAGCCAAAGAAAAATGAAGCAATTTATCTTCTGTTTAGGTTTATTTTCTTTTTGATTATTCTATTAACCAAAAATCAAAAGCATACCATCCTAATTCGTATTTGGCGGTTTGTTTATTTCATCTTCCTATGTGACTTAATCGCTACGAACTCTGAATATGGTTCTATATGAAAGAGTTGCCAGCAAAATAGACTACATAAATTGCATTCTTAGTTAACTGCAATGAAGCAATACTTAACTCATATGGTTTCTCTTTATTATTTGATGTTTTTGTAGGGTGACGCAAAAGCAAATGAAACTCTTATTGAAGAGCCGGAGACTGAAGCCAAGGTTCTCGATATACCAAGCCCATGCTCCATGGATATTGATTCTCAAACTAATAATCAGTTACCACAAGTAATCAGTAAGTGCACCCACTGTTTCTTTAAGTTTAGTTCTGGTAAATCAAGAACAATGTTTGGCAACTCTCAGTTATTAAAACCACTAGTATATTGGATTCCTTCGTGCTTTGTTATTATTTCATTGCATGCTAATGGACCGCTGATCTTTAACATGTCAAAAGAGCCAGGGCTTGTTTAGGTAGTTAATATGATATGACCTGTTTTTGTGCAGCTTCAGAAGAAATTTCAGCTGCTGCCTGTGATGATAAACCTGATCGCTTGGAAATTGCTCGGCTTTATAATGAGGTAAAATTCATATGTTGCGCTATTTAATCATAGATCATGCTAATGGCAACCCTATGGATTGTTAATAAGGTAGAGAAAATGCCAAAATATTTAGAATTTCAATGCTACACAAACCCACAAATGGCTCTATTTCATCTATGTCTCAACCTCAACTTTTATACCTAGTAAGGCGTAATCACCAGAGGTTCGGGACATCGTTGATGCGGAAGCTTAAGAGGTACTTGGCATGTTACAAGCCGACGGAGCCAGGAACCAAAGAAAAATACAAGTGGAAGATGAGAACGGATTCATGTAATTTGTCAGAGAAGAAAACTAGTCACGGTGATGATGGGAAGTAGCCGAAGAAGAACTATGACTATTATAGCGAAATGAATGAAGAGGAGAGGAATGAGAAGATGACATCTGCCATTAGCTACTGCAAGGTTAGCAAACATCAATCTCGTTGGTGTGTTAATGTTGAAAAAAATATTCTGGCACTGTGGCCAAAGAAAAATGAAGCAATTTATCTTTTGTTTAGGTTTATTTTCTTTTTGATTATTCTATTAACCAAAAATCAAAAGCATACCATCCTAATTCTTGTTTGGCGGTTTGTTTATTTCATCTTCCTATGTGACTTAATCGCTACGAACTCTGAATATGGTTCTATATGAAAGAGTTGCCAGCAAAATAGACTACATAAATTGCATTCTTAGTTAACTGCAATGAAGAAATACTTAACTCATATGGTTTGTCTTTATTATTTGATGTTATTGTTGGGTGACGCGAATGCAAATGAGACTCCTATTGAAGAGCTGGAGACTGAAGGAAAGGTTCTAGATATACCAAGCCCATGCTCGGTGGATATTGATTCTCAAACTAATAATCAGTTACCACAAGTGATCAGTAAGTGCATCCATTGTTTCTTTAAGTTTAGTTTTGGTAAATCAAGAACAATGTTTGGCAACTCTCAGTTATTAAAACCACTAGTATATTGGATTCCTTCGTGCTTTGTTGTTATTTCATTGCATGCTAATGGACCGCTGATCTTTAACATGTCAAAAGAGCCAGGGCTTGTTTAGGTAGTTAATATGATATGACCTGTTCTTGTGCAGCTTCAGAAGAAATTTCAGCTGCTGCCTGTGATGATAAACCTGATCGCTTGGAAATTGCTCGGCTTTATAATGAGGTAAAATTCACATGTTGCGCTATTTAATCATAGATCATGCTAATGGAAACCCTATGGATTGTTAATAAGGTAGAGAAAATGCCAAAATATTTAGAATTTCAATGCTCCTTTCACATATTCCTAGATACCTTCATATACTTTCTTACACATTGTAGTGCAGTTTTTACACATATATTGACACAAATGAATATGCAAGAACTAACAGTTGTTTCTTTTGCAGGATTTTAAATAGTGCCCCATACATGAAGTTCGTATAAGCTTGTATTTGGGCTGCTATTTCAACATGGGTTAGGGGGTCTTTTGTAGGATTTTAAATAGTGCCCCATACATAACATACAGACTGATATGTATCGGGATTTTAAACTTTCGATATATTTACTGATATTGCCCGATATCAACTAATATATAATTGTACTGTCAATATCAATACATATTTTGCTACTAGTGAGGTTGAAAATTGTGATCTAACCTTTCTTCATAACTATTTTTTTGCAGAAATTAGATGTCAATGAACCTGCTCGTGAGCAAATGGAACCTAGCACCACTGGTCATTGGGAAGAAAAGAAGCTAGTCAGCAGAGATGGCCAAGCAAAGCTCAAAGCCAATGTCTTCTTCGCTTCCTTTGACCAACGCAGCGACAAAGCTGCCAGAAAAAGCGCATGTACAGCACTGGCTGCAGTCATTGCCAATTAGCTTCAATCCAACCAAGACAACACGCCAATGAGGGCCCAATTCGACAGGCTCATAGTCGAAGGCTCCTCTGAATGGAGAAAGCTCTGTGACAATCAGGACTTGATAAACCAATTCCCCGACAAGCATTTTGACATCAAGACCGTCCTGCAAGCCGGACTCTGCCCAATATCGGTCTTACATGAGAAGTCCTTCATCGGATTTTTCGGTCCGGAAAAGTTCGAGACTTGAAAGGAGTCATGTCTTTTGATCAGATATGGGATGAGATCAAGAAGAACGCAAAGGGTGACAATGACATGCCTAGGATTTACATAGTAAGCTGGAATGATCATTTCTTTGTGTTGAAGGTCGACGTCAACGCTTACGACATCATCGACACATTTGGTGAGCGGCTCTTTGAGGGTTGCAACCAAGCATACATTTTGAGGCTTGATGACTCGACTTTGATGCGCAGGAAGGTACAGAAAGAAGGGGTCAGTTTCGATCAGTCAAGTGAGGACGAAATTTGCAGTGGCAAAGAGTGTTGCAGAGAGTTCATGAAGACATTTCTAGCTCCTATACCACTTAGGGAACTTGAATTGGAAGAGAAGAAGGAACTGGTTTCTTACTAAGCTCTCCACCAGCAATTACAGATAGAATTCAACTTCACCACGTCATTATCATTATCATCGTCTTCATCAGCTTCATCTACCAATTCAACTTCTTCTCTCTTCTCAAATGAGAGTATAAATAGATAATTAATGTAGATTATTCATGTATTCTGCGTTAAACTTTTAGGGGAGCAAACTGAGCGATCCTCATTGATCAATTAAATGCAATAAGGAGTCTGAGCTTCCCCCTTGTGGGAAGGTGAAGTTATGAGCGTATGACACTTGTACATTGGGTCCAACCCCAAGTGACCAGGAGGCCACATGGGAAACATTCGTATGATCGACACTCATAGAGATGTAATATTTTCAATCTAGATAGTAATAGTAGTTTGACAGTTATAGAATTTCATCTTGCCTTGTTTTTACACGATTTCTCTTTATTTTTTTTGATGTTCTAATGGATTAACTTTGATCATCCAATTAAATATTGTTATGGTATCGAATCTTCTTAGTTATTTTTATTGTAATGTTGTGTTTTTTTGCTTCATCTCAACAATTTGAAATATGTTAGTCTATTTGTTGTTGAGTAACGTTTAGATGAAAAAAAAATAAACAAAAATATATAACTGTATCACAAATTATTGTAAAGTATAATACTTTCACTTAAGAAGTTGCCGTTGTAACATCACCACCAAAAGATTATGTAATATTTTTTACAAAAATTTATAATATTTATCAAAAAAAATACATAACTCAACAAGGTGTGTACAATATGTAGAGTAAAGTTCCCCAATTTCGGTTTAACTTTTCTCTTTTAGGCTTATATTTTGGATAAATTACTCATCAAATTGAGTTAATATTTCAAAATTTTCAACTTTTCTCTTTTAGGCTTATATTTTGGATAAATTACCCATCAAAATGGCTTAATATTTCAAAATTTTCAACGTCACATCATTCTAGTAATTTTTTTTTGTATGAAATTTATGTTTGCAAATCAAGAAAATGGAGAACCCTTGGTTTGGAGGATTCTCATGGGATTGCTAATCAACACAATAAACAATAAATAAACAACATAGCACAAGAAGTTAAAAAAACAACATTTGCAAAAGCAACATACATGCTAGATCGAGTATCACAAGAGATTTGTCTTTTCTATTTACGCCTATGGATTACATAAAAACAATTTAGATTGAATTAAAGATAAAATAGAATGTTGGATCCCAAATAGTGATTCAATTTACAATGATGAAAGAGAATTCTTGATTCAATTATCCAAACTTGAAGAAAAATCTACTTTAGAGTTCTAGATTGAAGAAAAAAAACTGAACACAAGTAAGGTCCTTTTAAATTAAAATTTTATTCAAGTTCACTTATTAAAGTCAATAAATTGTCACTTTTTGTTGATAATGATTTTTTTATATCAAATATATATATTTTTTCTGGTTAAATTCTCAGTTTCAGTAAGAGAGATAGAGGGGTTCATTCAAATATGAAATCCAATCCTGCAAATCTGCTGATTACATATCAAGAACAAATTAACTACAAATTACTTGATAGCATAAACTCTCATCAAACACTATTTTTCTTGGTGTTAGTAGCTAACATCGAACACTCTTTTTCTCCCATTTCGAATGTTTATTCAGTTCAGTTAATTGGTAGACTTGTTATTCGCACTCAGTTAATTGGTAGACTTGTTATTCGCACACTTCCTACCTAGTAGTTTACTACTTAAAAATAAATATTACTTAAACACAACACATAGCTTCCCTTGAATGAAAAAAGTTTGTTCTAAGATCTTAGTTCGATATAGGATCTGCAAGCTTGCGTCAATTTGAAGGCTTGGGAGCTCTTTGCGAGATTTTGAATGACATTTCAACGAAGCCCTTGAGAAGAAGATGTGATGAGTTGTTTTGTTTTGTTCTGTAGGTAGATATAACTCCAATTTACAATCTGTTCATTGAATAGTTGAATGCTACAAGCAATGTTTATGGCACTGGCCTTACAAATTGGAAATGATACTTTTGAAATCTCTATCAGTTTATGATATACAATCTAGACATTACGTACTAATGAATTAGAGCATGGAATTTGTTTGTCATTGAAATATCTTTTGATTAAGCCTCTTTGAATGTGATGAGCATTTTTTTTTTGTGTTTTTTTTTTTTTGAATTTTAATTTGGAGATGAATAGATGGTCTAGTGATATGTTTGATATTTTTTGTTTGGTTGTTGAGAAATCAAGAAAGGAATATAAGTGTGTGAGTGATTTTTTGACCACACTCCCAACTCAGTATTCAGCTGGAGAGCACTGATAGAATAGATGGCACCTGTCTGACCTGCAACAGAAAGAGAAGATTCCGACGGTGGTTCGTCCACCCGGGGGCACTCTGTAACAAGCCCGCGGGGGACCTCGCCACAGCTCGGACTCGACTTTCGTTAGTCACGGTTCTAAGTCTGAACCAAAGAGTCCAAATCCGGCAAATCGTTTTGAGAAAACTGATTTTTGAAAGAAGTGCCAAACATGGACTGCTTTGCCAGATACAGAGTCGCCACCTAAATATTTTATTTTGGGAAATTTAGGAAACCCTGACTCGGTGCCAAAAGGCCACGCGTCCGTCATCACCAAAGTTGCCTCGGCTCGGGAACTTGGATACGATTGGGGAAGGTCACTTCGTGAGCACCCCCGCTCGCCCGGTCATAGACCGGCCTCTACTAACCACGATATCAATTTTTGAAAACATTGTGAATTCTTATTCCGGTTATTAGCCTAGGTTACTATGTGATGCACACAGCATATAAGTATAGACTGGGTCGTCCGAATTGGAACAAAACATTTCATGCTTGTTTATTTGAAAATGGTTTGATGATGCTACTCGCAAGTAGGCTAAGACGTGGATTTGCCACCCTCGGGTGGGCTTAGAAAACATGATGATTTGCGAGACAC